ACTTAAACTTCTTCGTCCAATGTAAATTTTGTTGAGTTATTTACACTATTTAAAAAACAGATAACCACCAAATTGATCATGGTATCTAATTACATCTGGAGTTTCTTCATATTTATTTTCTTTGACGGTTTTACTTTTAGTAAAATCTTTCAGCTAAATAGCTTTTGCTAGATAGCTTCCAAACTCCTCTTAATTTTACATTTCAAATCCATTTACTTACAAATTTACCTTTTTAAAATTAAAATTATATCAACAAATATTCAAAAATATTCAAATTTTACTTTTTATGATGAATAGATGCTAATCACTGCATCATTATCAATCGTTTGAATCCAAGGTATTTCTACAGCTAAGCAGTAAGTACCTTGTGATAAATTAGCTTCAATATAACCCTAATTTAAATAATTTTAAGTTTATTATTGTCTGCTGCTTTTAAATTTAAGAAATTACTTCTCTAAATGGTGTGTAATCTTCTCCAACATAACGGATGGGTTCCAGAGTAGTAGGATTTATTTCAAATAAGAATTATTTAAGCATGCTGTATTTGTATTATGTCTTGGTTTTAGCAAAATGCCTATCACTCTTTTAACTGAGCATAACATAGCAATGAGTATCTCTGCTTACTACGAACTAAAAGAGGCACTACTACTTCTTAAAGTTTGCCAACTTATACCAACTGTAATAATAGTCATCATTAATATAATTAACAGAAGTTTCAGCAAACTCTTTAACAAAGTCCTTTACATCCATCCAAAATATACCATCATCTTTTGAATCATAATAGTTTAATTGTTTCCTGATTTCTTCAGTCCACAATTTACTATTATCACTCCAATCACCTTTCCACTCCATACTTCCCCAAGGATTTCTTATTTTAATTAATCTTGCAAGTCCTTTTTTAGCTAATTAAAATATTTAACTAAACTTCCAAAAATAAATTAATTTAAATATTACTTTTAACTTCTTAGGCGTCTAGAATGCCATAGGCATGAGAAGAAACTATACCTGATTCTTTCTTTGTTTCGATACCTCTGTTGTCAGACTACGAACCACAAGTGAGCAAATGCTTCTTTTATTCGTTTGTGTATATAAAATCCCAAACTAGCTCTGCATCATCATTTTTTATCGTTTTTCCAGGAGCTCCAGTTAAGTCTTTGATAGCTTCTACAGTAAGTCCAGCTTCAATCTTATCATAAGCTCCATATATTTTTGCATAACATTTTTCTAAAATTAATACCCATAACTCATCTCCATTTGCACTAGAGAATGCTGGCATACCATCTTCTTTTCTGCATGGTAAATAATCATCAAGAATTACTTGAACCCATTCACTATCCTTACAAATCCACACAGAGTAAACCTTACAAGGATTAGAGTTTTTAGTGATGAAAAGCCTTGTGATCAAATTTTCTCGTTCAGCTAAAACACTTAAGCTACTTAAGAAATAACAATCACCAAGACCACCTATTTGAAATATATTTTAAGTAAAATTCTATTTATTTTATAAAATTTCATTATACCTTATTTAATGTCATCTGGTTCAACTCTATCAAAGAATACTTTTAAGTCATTATAAATATCAGATGCTCTTTTCCAAATCATATTTTTTGCCTTTTCAAAAGTTTTAACATCTTTTGTTAAACTTTCTAATTTTGGTGGAAATTCAGAGTCTTCGTATGGTTTGTTATCAAGATCTTAGTAGAACTTGTCAAAGTCTATTGGATTTTCATTAAGTATGAGATCTTCAATCTTAGCACTTTCAAATAAGCTAAATTTTACACTCTTTTGCTTAGAAGAGCTGTTATGAGATTTGTTCAAAAGATCTTGGCTTTATAATAAATTTAAATCACTTAATATATTTTAATATCAAATTAAAATTACCTTAAATCCATCTTTGAAGATTATTTTCTCATATTTTTAAATGGATCATCGTCTTGCAAATTATTAATAACTGGCGTTGCGTTTCCACTATTATCAAAATCCTACTGATAATCTTCCTCCTACTATATTTCTTATCCATTTACATCTTTACTTTGGTTATTAATCACTATACTATACTTTTATTTAGAACTGTTATTTTTTTAAATAGGATTATCTTCATCAAAACTTTGGTTATTATAGTCTTATTCTTACTCAATAATGCTAACATCATTAACTTCAGGAATGTTTAATTGCTTAACTTCTACTTACTCTTAATTTTATCCTTAAAGGAAGTCTGGAACTGAGTCTTTGTTAAATTTATCTTTAGATTTTACATCAGGTTATTTTTTAATATCTTTGCTACTCTTCATAATCTCCTCTCTCTAAACTGATTAAATGACATTTGACAATTCTGCTTATGATCTTAAATCTTATATCTATTAAAGACTTTTCCTATTTTTATTGATTTCTTAAATGTCTTTTTCAAAACCTATATTTTTTTAATTTCCAAGTTAAGTTACAATTATAAAAATTTAATAAATAATAAATAAATACCATGCTAAACCATTTTTCCGCCCTACAATGTAGTGACGAATTCATTTAAATCAATTTTTTAATCATGGTTGGTATCAAAAATTCTCATAATTTGAGCTATTTATTATAATTCAAATCCGAGGTCAAGTAAAGCAAATTTTAACTCAATTAGAGATATTTCTTAATTTCCGTTTCTATCTATTTTTGCAAATAGCAATTCAGGATTGAGATGATTTTTAGTCATAAAAGTGTGAAATTTATCTAGAATTTTTTATTTATCTGATGATGTATCAGCCAACTAAGAATTTTATTAAAAGTCATATAAAACATTAGATTCGTCTTAACTAAGAGCAACAAAATATTCATTTTCGTCAATTTCACCATTCTTATTTATATCTATAATAGATAAAAAGTGATCTACAAGTTATGCATTTATTCTTGGAGCTAGTTTTACAACAGCCTTGATAAGATCTGTCTTTTTAACATTTTTAGTATCTTCTATATCAGCTATTTTATAAACATGAATAGGATCAACCTTAAATTACTTAAGCAGAGCTGCAAATGATTACATCTCTCTATCAATATCAATTTCATAAAGCATACGATAGTAACAATTCAATTCTCTAACAAATTATTTTTTTTCTACAAACCCTGTTTTCATTGGGTCAAAAACTCTACTCATAGCAAATATCTCCATATCTTTTAAAGTTTGCTTATTTTCTTCAAGGTATTCTTAAATATATTTTAAATTTAATTTTAAATCTGTTGCTGATTGTTTATCCATTTTGTTTTATGAAGTAGGTTTTAGTTATCCATTTTTCCCTTCATATTTATTATAAATAATATCAAAAACAGTAGCAAAACTAGTTCTTTCAGATTTAAGCAGGGAATCAAATATTTTAACTAGCCTAAACATCAACTCCTTCTCTTAAGTTCTCTATTCTGTCAGTTTATTAGGATTTTCATTCAAATTATAGAATGATAAGCATTTATTGTACTCTTCAAAACTGATAGCCCCACTGCAATCTTCGTCAAAGCATTAAATTAAAAAATTAATTTACTCTATAGTCAATTCTCCATTTAAGTTAATTTTTGAAGAAATAAATAGCTTAAAGTCCTCTACTATTACTTATCCTTTATACTCTCTATCACAACAACGAAAAATCATTTCATAGTTTATACACTTTTATATCAATAAATTTTTAAAATACTTCAATAGTTATTCTTTTTTTAAGGGAATAAAATTGCTCGCTTCTTCATTCAAAGTGGTTAGACTTTGTTTATCAGATGTTGCCGCAGCATGTGATTTTACGCTTCTAATAGCTTTGTTTTTCTAATCATCCTTCTTTTGCTAAGTATATTTTTGCAAAATATCAGTTTTAGAATTTAAAATGATTGCACGATCTAATAAATTATTGCGAGTAGAATTTTTATTTAATAGCTTTTATAATGCCTCTATTTTAGTTTCTATTTCTTTGTTTTAATTGGCTAATTGCATGGCATTTAACTTTAAAATTTTAACAGCTTTACTATACTCTTAAGTAGAGTATTCCTTTTTACCATTCTGATTTTTTGAATTCATTTTATGATAAATAATCTATATCTTTTCTAAATAAATGAAATAAGTTTATTTTAATTATTTATAATTAGATACAAGTGCTAATTGATTTTTTAATTTTCAAACTGTTTTTACTTTTTATAAGGAGTTTTACATATTAATTTTCATGTAAAAGTAATAACATACATAAAGAAAATAATTAATTGATATCAAAAACTAAGTAACTTATTTTTTTTAGTTACTTTTATTTTTAGTTATAAATTAGTTTATCTAAATACCATATAGCTGTTAAAAATAACAGTATACATACTTCAGTAAATTATAAAATGAAAATTCAGTTCAAAGTTTACAAAATTTATTTATATAGAGCTAAAATAATAATTTTGCAAGAAACATATTCTTGGATTAAATTATATTCTTTTATAGTTTCTAATTTCGAGAAATATTATCAAAATAGAGAATGGATGGATATTTTACTTTCTCCTTAGCGATTTTAATAATTTATTAAAAGTGAAACATTAAATTTTTCTTTGTTTCGTATAGGTTACAATATATAAAGATAAAAATTAAATTAAGAAAGGTGCTTTTTAACATTAATTGGAAAATTTTTTATCAGCTAAATTAAAAAAAGTTTTTATAAGCAAGGCTCAATATTTTTTGTTAGAAAAATTAGTTTTTATTTCACACAAAATTGAAATAAAGAAAGATTTTAAAACTATTAAAGAAATCAATTAAATTATTTAGATTCAATCAAAAAATCTAAATAAACTTTAACTTGTTTTTTTGACTAAATGAATTTTTTTCTAAAAGAAATAAAATTTACAATTTCAGTTAATTTTTTTGATTTACTTTAAAATTATTAATAAAATAATTTACAATTATATTTAATTATAAATTATCTAACGATATAAATAGAATATCTTTATTTAGTTTTTATAACTTATTTTCAATTTAAAAGTTTATGATTTGGGGAAAATAATTAATTCTATGAAATCTAAAATGCTTCTACTATCTTAGGAGTTAGAAGCTAGTTTTTTGCAAGTATGTTCATTATTTTCATTTGATAAATAGGACTTAGCTGGTCTTTGTATTTTACCAAGACGTTATATAGCTCTATTTAATTAACTTAAGTAATCTACATTATGTTTTATATACTATACTTAAAGAACTTGTAGAAATTCTCTGGGTTAGTTTCACATTATTTTATCAAGTTAGAGTAATTTAGGTTTACAAATACCCAGAAATCTTCATTCTCTATTTTTGTTTTCATCAAAATCCAAACTATATCAAAATCAACTTAATCTTTAAGGCTATCACAATTTTTATTAAAGTAAGTAAAAATTTATGACCAAAATAATTAATTTCCTCTATTTGAACCAGAAAATCCTTTTATAACACTTAAAATTTCTTCTTTTGAAAAATCATTTATCCTAAATAAAAGAATATGGGTTAATTCCTTCCATAACTCTTCAGTTCCTTTGTCGAATTTACCAAAATGGAAGATGATTTTAACAATTTATTCATTTGTTATATATAAAATTTATTCCATAATTCGTTCTGAAAGTAGATCAAACTAAAACTTGATGACTTTTTAATCATAAACTTTTAATTTGCTCAAACATTAAATTATCTCACTTAAGCTCATATCTCCAATATGCTCTGATAATTTTTAAAGTAATAAATAATCAAATCGTTGCGAATTTGAAGATCCCTATATATTATAAAGATTTAACATATTATATTTTGATATATTTTAGTGATTTTTGTTTAAAACATCTAGCATTTCTTTAGAATATGACTTGATAGCCTAGCAGTAATCATCAAAGGTTATTTATCTTGTTTTATACTTGTAATCAGCAGATTCATCGTCTAGCTCATCTAACCATTTTTTCTTATCCTTATTCAACTAAATTGTAATGTCCTTGTATTATCTTAGGACATATTTTAGTTAATGGTTGCTTAATATTTTTTTTATTAATCCGTATTAAAATTAGCCACTCATTCTAAGTTCTATTTTAGTTTTACTAAATAATAATTAATAATGTATTTAAAACACCAGAAATTGCTAGAATTAAATAAATTAAAATTTTCAAATAGCTTTTTAGTCCATAAATATTTTTACTAAAAGCTTTTTATTTAAAAATGAAAATGTAAATAATATTCTAAAACAAATTTTAAAAATTAGAAATTATAAAAAATTTTATTTTATTTAAAAGAAATAATGCAAGATATTTCATACTTTATTTTATTAAATAATAGTTAAAAAAATAATACAAATAATAAATGTAATTTACTAAACAATTTATGATAGAAATATTTTTATTAATAAAATAGATAATTTTTACAATTTTTTTAGATTTTAGTTTTTGATTTTTCTATTTTTTTGATTAAAAATGCATTAAAGAAAGTTTATTCATAATTAAATTAAAAACAAATTTTATTTATTATTCGAATGAAAAAAATAATTTTTTATTCAATATATTTTCAAATATTTTCAAAGAAATTAAGTAGAATTATTTTTTTATATTGTGAATGATGAAATGGTTTATTTATATTGATTTATAAAACAAAGAATCCATAGATTCGTTTTTTTCAACTGATTTTGTAAATTTATAATTGATAAATAAATAAATATAAATAAGAAATGGATTGAAAGAAATTAATGAAAATTTATTTGTAATAAAATAAAAATGATATTAGTAATAAATTCTAATCCTTAAATAATATTAACATTAAATAAGAGCAGATAAAGTACGATAAGGTTATTATTTATTTGATTTTAATTCTTAAAAGACAGGAATTTAAAAAGAAAAAAAATTAATTAATTCAAAAGTATATTAGAAGTAGTAACAAATATAAACGGATGTCTTAATAAAGAGGCTATTAATAATAGCAACCACAGTCTTAGAATTAAGCTTATTCTTAGGGTTAACCAACTCCTTAGCAAGGAGGATAATAGGCTTTTATATCAAATGAAGATGTTAAGAAGCTCTAAGAAATGGGATTTAAAACTTCAATCATTTATAAAGCAGCTGAAATCGCCTAAGCACAAAATAAAAATATTCTTGATGTAGTTATTCAATTATAGTAAATAATAGAATTTTTTGAATGATTTATTTGAAATAACCACAATGATTGAACATTTCTAATTTACTATATCTATTTTCATTAATTATAGGGAAAATGAACCAACTCCTTAGCCTCCAAAAACAATAAGTCAATAGAGGTCATTTTAGGTAACAATAATTTTTACATATTTTAAACTATAAAATAAAATAGACTTAGAAATTTGTTCAATAATACAAAGTAAAGAAAAAAATAGAAAAATATTTTAATTAGAATTTTAGCATAAAACAGACACATCTTTTATTCTTTCAATATCAAATAGTGAAAATTTATCAGCTAAATGTCTTTTATTAATTTTAGGAATTTTCTTCTACTGATGAATCAACAAATTAGTAAAACTAAAAATAGCAAGATTATGATGTTTTAACAATAGACGTTAGATTAAGATCTGAAGGCACTCCTGTTGGACTTCTCAACTACGGAAATAGTAATTAAATAATATTGATTTTCATACAAGAGCAGCATGTCTGAACAAATAAATCTATAATATAATTTAAATAATTAAACAATGCTATATGGTTTTAATCATATTATTTATAAATAAATAGCTTGCTACTTCAATTCTCTAATACAAACATACTTTTTTATTCCTAAATTTATGGAGACCATCATGAATTATAGAGTTCCTACTTAGATTAATATGACTACTCTTTCATAGGAAAGGTAAAGAAGAATTTAAGCTTCTATCAACTTAGTTAGTCACTTATAAAGGTTATTTGGCTACTTGATACTTTCAGATAAAAAGTATGCTGACCCTAAATAAGTTTTGGAAAATATAGTTGATGATTAAGGTAATATTATAATAATTCAAACGCTATTTAACTCAATTAAAATTCTAAAATAGGAAATAGGATTATTTTAGGGGACTAAAAGGATATTGGTGAATTTAATTTATAGTTTTTAGAAAGAGTATAGGAAGGTTTAAGCTATGTTTAAGGCAAAGCATATGATTTTAGTACTCAAAATGGATCGGCTAATAAATAGCAGTCAATATGTGTTGATTTATTAGATTCCCAATCCGAATAAAAAAAAGGATCTCTTAAAAAGAAGATTGCTTTTTTGCCATAAGAAGATGAAGAATCAGTAATAAGCTAGCTATTTTTTGGTAAAAAGAAGGAATTTATTACCTATTACTAAGAAGTAATTCTTTTTTTATTAGACAAATAAAATTCAGGCTTAATAGCGAAGATTTTTAAAATTCAAATTATTTCAAAACATAAAATATCAAAATAAATTTTAACTGATGAACCAGAATATAACAGATTATAAAATAGAAAAATTTTTATAAAAAGGGAACCTTTAAATAGTTTTATGAAGAAAACGTATTCCTGCCAATAATATTAGATCTTTAGTATTAAGACCTTTATACTAGTTGGGAGCATCACAATACATTTTATATAGAAGATTTTAAAGATAATACTGGTAAAATAACTGAAGCAGAAAAGGCAGGATGGATTACAAAAAGTCCAGAAGTTCTTATGTTCTAAATTTAAAGAGTGGTCTATCTCAAAGAAAAAGGGATTGCTGAGAAATTAAATACTCCATTTCACTTTGAGAAAGAAATTTACATAGATAGGTTTTTACTTGAAAATAGAGCTTACATTTTAAGAAACAAACCAAAACTCAAAGCATTGAAAAAAAAAGTAATTTATTTACATTTGTTAAAATTTTTATTTAATTTTTTTGTTTAAAATAAAATAAGAGAGATGACATTAAAAAGCAAATTCAAAGCTTAAAAAATTACTAAAACTCAAACTTTTCAATATTAAATATTATGCAAATGCAACTAGATTTTCTTAAAATTAAAGAATAAGAGTTTGAAGAGCCAGTTATGGAAGAAGATAAATTCTCGCCAAAAACATAACAATTATTAACTAATGATAATTATCTTGAAATAAGCGACTTTACACTTGATTAAAACACCTAGGCATCCAGCACTTCAAGGAATACAAATGGTAATAACTTCATGAATAATAACTCTCCTATCGATTTACTTAGTCTCTTTTCTAGTCCTACTCCTTAGATGCCACTTACACCTTCTTCATAAAGTTAACTTGTAAAACATTACAAATAAAAATAAATAAATAAATATTTATTATTTTTTCTAAAAAAGCAATCTACAATATTCGATAGAAATGATCATTTAAATTAAAATAATAGCTAAAGCAATTCAATCTAAAGTATACCTACAATTAATAACACAAGCCCACCTAAAAATAATTAAGAGACTAATTCTACATCTATTAAAGAAACTAATTTAATAGAACCCTAAGCAATTTTAGTTAATTAAGATCCTAGAATAGCAGATATAAACTAAAAGATTTGCGCATTAAATAATAGTAAAGCGAATATATAAAATTAATTTTTAAAAGTGCTTGAAGGTCTGAAAATGCAGACTTAAGAACTTATAGTTACTTTAGAAAATGAACTAGTTCGTATAAATGTAAAATATTTTTTTGCTTTTTATTTGAGTTAAATTAATATTTTTAACAAAACAGAAAGAAATAGATGATATTTATGAAAATTTAAAACACAATAAATATGTTTTACATGCTATTTTAGTTCACCAAGGCTATGCAGGTATTTGTTTGAAAAAACCAAATAAATCATTATAAAAAATATTGAATATAAAATAGATTCTGGTCATTACTTCTCTTATATCTATAGTTATGATTAGAAAAAATGGTTCAAATTTAATGACATCTAGGTGTAAGAAGAATAAGAGTCGGTTGTTATGAAATAAGCAGTAGGTGATGGTAGATCTAGTGCATATTGTTTAGTTTATGTTAAAGAAGATATAATTAAATAACGTAAATACAAGCATAACTTTGAGCTCATGGGAGATAACGAGTGTGCCTAAAAAATAACTGAAATTACCACATCATAAGGTGTTAAAAAAAAATAAGTAGTTATAGATTTACTTAATTTAGAGCCTGATCCTCCTGCCAATTAATAAGCTTTAACGAAAGATTAACAAAAATCTGATTTGCAGCATGTTAAAAGTCTAGTTCAAGAATATATTAAAGCAGAAATTTTGAGCCAAAATAGGTAGCAATAAGTTGAAATGCAACAATTTAAACAATTACAATTAGCTGATATGATTGTAGAGAACTATTCAAAGAGATTCTCTTTTATAAATGAATACATCAGAAAAATGTATGATAAATCTAAAAAGATATCATGTAAAAATTACTTAAATAATTTAAATAAATTAATGTTTTTTTTCAATATTTTTAAACTAAAAGCTTGTCCTCCTCTCACAAACTTTGGTGTTTACTTAAGATGGCTCAATGAAAATGTCACAGACATTTTAAAAATCTAATTATTTGATTGTGCAATAAGAGAAGTTTCTAATCAAACTTTGATGCTCTAAGATGTAGCTAATAATCAAATCTTGTAAAATCGTTTGGTGAATAATTTTGAAACGATGGGTGAATTTAAATCTCCTGTAAAAATTGTTCTCTCTCCTAGGGAATATGAATACATGAACAAGGAATATAATAAATATCTCTGTAAAATTGCATGCTCATATGCTATACTTGAAGCCTTTGACTTGATCTTAAATAAAAACATAATTGCTTCATTTGATTATTTCCACTATATTTAGCAATATGTAAGATTTTTAATTTTATAAACAATTATTTAAAAAAATATTTCTATTAGAATACTAATTAAAACGATTACTTCTATCGTATGTCAAGAGATATGTTTAAAGTGCTTCTGTTAAAATCTAGCTGTTCTTTATTTGAATAAATAGATGAATCTAACGAAGTAATCCTAAAATAAATTAAATTTATTTTGCTTTATAGTGCAAAATTATAAGACAATGATACAACTTCAGCATAAATTTATAAAATATTGTGTGATTACATGAAATATATTGGTAATAATAAGCTGGCTTAATCTAGAGAAAAAGTATAGTCAGTTATTTCTTTCTTATAATAGTATGATAAAATATAAGAGTAATTCAAATCATATCTATTCTAATAAGAAAAGGTACATAAATAAACATAAAATTTAATAAATTTGTTTCATATTATTTTTTTTTAAAGAGGTTCGAAGAATTAGATACAAGGCTAATGCAGTAAGCTATGACATAAGATAAATATTTCTGGAAGTTAGAAGATGTTAATATGAATACTGAGATGCAAATTAATTAAGTTTTTAGCTAAATTAATGTCTGTCTAAGAGTAATTTATTTTGATTTTTATTAATAAATAAATAAATAAATATTATTTTATTTTTAAAAGGAGCACATAAATTTCCATTAGAACTTAGTTAAATATAAAAAAGTACTTGACATTTAGGAAAGAATTTAATATAATTTCTAAGTAAATGTAAAAATGTGATGAATAAGTATTTTTTGTTGAGCTTGATTAGGGTAAATTATCAAATCAACTTGCCATCTATCTTTATAGCAATTGCCGAAAAATATTTTTTCATAGAATCAAATAAATTTGTTTCAATAATTAAATAATTAATTATCCTTTTTCAAAAGATACCTACATAAATACATACATACCTACCTACCATTTTTATTTACTCTAATCAATTTCAAAGTACTATTTTTCCAAAAACCAAACTATGAATTTTGTAAAAGCAAGCACAATAAAAATGCTATTAATTTATATTTTATATTAATTATGTCTATAACCTTAATTAATTAATTAAATTTTGTAATAAAATTTAAATAAAATATTTTAATTCATTTACCTCAATAAATTTAATATTTATTAATTATTTATAACTATTTAAGTTATCAAAATTTATATTTGAAGACCTCATTTGATTATTTAAAATATTTTAATACACTTATTATTTATTAATGAATTCTCTACAATTTTTATTAAATTCTCACAACTTGTTAGTTTTTATTCCAATTTTTTATTTACATTAATTCTAAAATAATAATTGTAAAGTATGGATATATACGGTCAAATCTTAGCTTTTGACCACTTTATAATATTAAAATTTGCTTATTTTTGGCAGATTTTTAAACACTTTAATATTAAAAAATATTCCCCTCTTACAGGACTAAATCTGAAAAATCAACTTAATTAAAATTATTTTATCAAATTTTAAGGATTATAATTTAGAATTTATTTAACATGAAACTAACTACCCATCTCTAATTCCTACTATATTTTTTATTATATACTTTAAATAAAAATATTAAGGTTTAATAATGAATTTCAAGCTAAATTTTTTATGATATCTCTTCATAATAGCAAATTTGTAATTGATTGATACTTAATAATTTTTTCTTATTATCCAATTTAGTTTGAAATAAATTAATTTAATTTTTTAATATACTTATAATTAATTAAATATCCATAAATTGCTATTCAATATTTTTGAAGAAAAAAAATAAATAAATGATGTAATAGAAAAAATATTTCAGTAATGTAGATTCAGTATTTAATTATTTATTTTTTATGAAAAATCTTAAAATTTATTCTTATTAATAAAAAAAGTTTTTAAACTCTTCACTTTAATTTCATTAGTTTCTCCATATTGCTCTGAGGTATATTTAATTTATTACTGTTTTTTTTTTTTATTTATTTTAAATTTACTTGCAATATTAATTTTCTAATAAAAATTCTTAACAAAAATCATTAATTTTTATTTACATAATTTTAATTTAATTTTCACTTTAACTTTTTATCTTGATTATTAAAATATAATTTTTTTATTATTATTATTTTTTTTTCATATTTTCTTTCTAACAAATTATTTATTTTATAATTTTTGTTTAACATTTAAAAAGTTTAAATTAAATTGGCGATGAAGATATTTCAGGCTTAGGTTCTGCATTAGCAAATTGCACTAACCTCTCAAATTTGACTCTTGATCTAGCGTAAAAACTGTTTTTTTGTTTTGGATTGTGATATTTTTTAACATAAAAATGAGTTTTAAATAATATCACTTTTTTTTTTTTCTTTGATTGCTAATTTAACTAATTTTTTCATTTATAATTTTTACTTTTCTTATTGATTATTTCATATATTATTATTACATATTTTTTCTTCATTTTATCTTAATAATTAAGAATATATTTTTTCTTCAATGTTTAAAAAGTGATAATTTAATTGGAGATGTAGGTGTATCAGTCTTAGGCTCTGCTTTAACAAATTGTACTAACCTCTCAAATCTGACACTCAATCTTGGGTAAAAATAGTTTATTTTTTTGAATTTTAAAATTATTTAATAAAAATATGAATTTAAAACAATTTAAATCATTTCATATTTTTTCTTCATTTTACCTCTAACTAACTAACTAACAAATCAATTTTATTTTTTTTCTTCAACATTTAAAAAGTTACAATAAAATTGGTGCAATTGGCGTATCAGGATTAGGCTCTGCTTTAGCAAATTGCACTAATATCTCAAATTTGACACTTGATCTTTGGTAAAAATAGTTTATTTGTTTTGGGTTGTAAGAGATATTTTTTTTTATATAAAAATGAATTTAAAACAAAAAAACTCTTTTAATTTAGTTTTTATTTTATTTATTTTACTTTTTTTTATTTTCAACTTTACTTTTATTATTAATAAATTAATTTCTTATTATTTCAAATTTTTTATTCATTTTCCCTTCTAAATAAGGAATTAATTATTTATTTTTTCTTCTAAATTTAAAAAGTGGAAATAAAATTGGTGATGAAAGTACATCAGTCTTAGATTTTACTTTAGTAAATTGCATTTATCTCTCTAATTTAACACTTTTTATTAGGTAAAAACACTTTATTTGTTATAGATTGCTTGTGATATTTTTTAATTTAAAATGAATTTAAAACAATATAAATCTTTTAATTAATTTATTAGCTTTTTTTTTTATTTTACTTTTTTTTTATTCTACTTGTGTTTTATTTTTTTTCTTAGTTTTATTCTTTTTTAATTCAACATATTTTTTATTTTAAACTTTTACTAATTCATATTTCTTATTATTTCATAATTTGTTTTCATTTTTTCCTTATAATTAATTAGCTAATTAATTCATTTTTTTTTTCAACATTTAAAAAGTAGTAATAAAATTGGTTCAATTAATGCTTAAAGCTTTGGTTCTGCTTTAGTTAATTATGCTTATCTCTCAAATTTGACACTTGATCTTAGGTAAAAACAATTTGTTTGTTTTGGATTACAATATTATTTAAAAATGAATTTTCTACAATATAACTTTTTAATTATATTATTAGCTTTAATTGATTTTTATTTTGTTTTTTTCTTCTTCTCTCTTTGTTAATTTAACTCATTTTTTCATTTTAAACTTTTT